TACTAAAAGCAACATTGCTAAAATACAAGCTTACAAAAGTATAAAGTTGTGAACAAAAAAAAACTGGAAATTGTACAAATTCATAAACCAATAAAAATACTTTAATCTCACCTTCAGTGAAGATGGTAATCTTGGAATGGAACTCCATGCCACGTTCGAACATGTCCTTAGGGCTGCCATCCTTAGCGATACCGACGTCGCCAGTGGCGACACCTTTTAGCGAACCATCGTCGCGGTATATGAGGTCGGCGCCTGCGCAACCTGGCCAGATCTAGGAGAAAGAAAAAAAAACATTATAATTGTGTAATTTAATATTTTTTAAAGCCCACAATAAATAAGAGTTTATAATAGAGGGCAATATTTTGTTCTTAATCAGACAAGACATTATAAATAAAGTAGTAATCATTTATATTTTAAGTAAATATTTTATCAGTGTTTGTATTTGAAAATTCTTTTTGGGCAAATAATAAAAATGTTTTCAAACTACAATATTTACCTCAGCTCCAGCAGCCTCGGCTTGTTCAGATAACCACCTTACTAAGTGTCCCAAACGCACTACATAGTTGCCGTGGTTGTAGTTAGGTAATCCTATACACAGAAAACGAAATGATATCAATTAATAATAATTACAAAAATGTAGTATTTGTTTACTAAGAAATTAAGTTTCATTTATTTATGCTTCAATGTACACAAAATATCATGAAGTTGGTACAAAAGACAGACTTAATGCCATATGATGGCATTATCTACCCATCAACCTTTTATACATTTATTTGATTACCAAATAAAATCAATCTTTCAAAAGACATATGAGATAGAGACCTTGTTTTGTTGACTGCTGATTGTATTACTAACTTTTAATTCAGTCTGCTTGCGACCAGGTCGAAACGTCAAACCTTCCAAGGTACTTATGACTCTTCGCGTTAACACCCGCATAATGTTGTGATCGTATTGCTAGTTACTGTTTTCCATGCTGACCATAGTCTTGCATGATGTATAAAATATTTTCATAGACAAAACTTACCGGGAAACACAGGGATAGGTATTCTCCCACTCTTAGTAAGTAGACCAAACTTGTCCGATGTGACTGGAGTATTCATAGGTGCACCCTTCTCTTGCCAGTCAGGGATCAGCTCATTCAGGGCTATAGGATCCACACAGGCACCAGATAGAATATGGCCGCCTACTTCGGCTGCTTTTTCCAGAAGGGTCACTCTTACTTCCTGTAAATTTAAGATATCTTGTTTACTACATACATTCCTACATGAGATGCCTTCAAGGTATGAATAGAATAACGCATCATAGGTTGCCAAATACAAGGCTGTCACTCATGAGGTCTTATTGGCTTATTGTAGTATAGACAACGATTGAAAATAAGGTTTATAGTTTACTTATATGTGGGAGAGCCATGCTTCGGCACCAATGGGTCACCATTGGCCGTGTCCACATAAAAATCTGCGGAAGGCAACCAACCACATCGTTGTGATTCGCGAGTGATTTATGAGTGAGATTTCCGGAGGGATTATCCTTCACCTCCCCAATCCCTAAATGTCCAAAACTCTTATCCCCAAAAAGGCTGGCAACGCTATGTAACTCTTCCGATGTTACGGGTTTCCATGGAGGGCGCCGATTGCTTACCATCAGGTACAACATCATCAAACGAGTCTCTTTCACATAAAAAAGACCTAAAAATTATTCCTATTCGGAATAATAGCTATAAATAGTGTATTCTATTAACATGTATAACATTTTTCAATAACAACACCTAAGTTGTCATTTCTTTCAATATTTTTGTGTAATTTCTATATCTTTGTTCCAATGATATGCTTTATCATTGAATAAGATCAAAAAGTAATTGATAAGCATTATCATCCTACCACAACTGGTGTTGGCAACAGTTGATATAAAACAAATTAATTTAAGATAAGCAACATATGTATTTGTTTTTAAAAATGTATACACTGTGTCACTTTTATATAGAAGACACTATTATATTATATAGATAGCACTAATATATTACATAGAAGAATAAAATTAAGCTGTACAGTTATTCTCATTATATTTTTAGTGACCTAATCCAACATAGTGACATACTGTTACTATACATACATGTTTTTTTTTTTGTATTTAATCCTAATTCGTTTTTTAAGTACCTAGATAATAGTGTTTATATAAAATTAACAATTTAACTTAATGGCGTAAGCTGTAATGTTGTATATGTAAATTTTCTTAATAAATAAATACTTATGAGCTATATAACAATGGTGTCTTTTCATACCTGCATACCAAATATCTGTGCAGACTGAACATATTGTGTGTAAAACTTGGAGTCTGTTAATGCCCATTACATGGTTGAATTCCAATAAATGTTTAATTGAATAAATAATTTACTTACAGCCCCCTTTTCCTCTGCAATCTGTCGAGCTCGGATGGCAGCAGCCATGCCAGCTGGTCCTCCACCAATAATGAGAATGTCCGTCTCCTCCGCAACCCTCTCCATGTTTATGTCTAGACATTATTTGTATGAAAGTCAATTAATTATGTACTTAAGGGGTGTGCTACGTTACTTAGTGACTGTTTTATATCTTAAGTTTGTGGTGTTTTTTGACTTTATTGTTGGCAACATCTAATTTTGACATATGTATTGTGTTTGGAGCGAATGCCTAAGCTTTAACTTTAGAATCTCAGCTTAAGATAAGGTTGTTATCAAATATATTTTCTTATTTACTAGGTTTGTTTATGGACAACACAATTTTAAAGTCTGATTAGTAATACAAGTAGGTAGTTTAGAAAGTGTAAACTATCAATAAATTGTAATAAAATGAAAAGGAATCTTTGCTTGAAAATTATTTATAAGAATATAAGGTAAGACTACTAAGGTAAGACTAGTGGAAATTTCTACAGATAGTTGGCATCTCATCAATAATTATGGTGCAAGAGATTATTATATTCATGCCAGATAATGTGAATGGTAAAACACCTCATTGTAGCTCTAAGGGGTTGTTACCATGTCAACAGACCAAAAAAAACCTTGTTTGGAGAATAATTTGTTTAAGTTACTGGCTTACTTAAGACATGTTTATTTTTTTAAGTATTTTATACTCATTTCAAAATTCATGGATTCTACTGATATCAATATATATCTCCATTAGCGATCACATTTGTTTGTTTTTCATACATTTTTCTATCTCAGTAGAGTGATAAATTAGAATGCTATCAAGGTCTAGCCGTGACGTTAATTTTGATAATATATTTGAACTTGAGGTTATCACTTACCTTTCCATCGTGGATCCTTATCTCTTGGGTGAATGGTGTAATGAGTTGTTATCTTTGGGTAAGCATCTGAATACAACCTCTTTGCAGCATTAGTTAGCCTCCCCACTGAAAAAAATAAATGTTTGTCAGAAAACACCACCAAAACAAACCAGATTGAACTTTGAACTTTTATATTTAGTAGGTTTATTGCATAACCTTGTGCGCCTAGATCTTATATTTATATTTTTAACCAACTACAATAACTGAAACTAATAAATTAATGTCTTTAACAACACGTATTAATCAAATTATTAAAAAACCAACTCACGAACAGCTGATAGCAACGTCACATGAAACAACTTTTTTACCGTTAACAAAACAAAATTTAATGAATAATAAATTCAACCCATATTATTTAAATCCATTTGGTACTCAATTCATTTCAAAAATATTATAGTTTTTATTTAAAAAGTATTTTATTTACCCTGACGAGACGAACTAACAAGTGCCGCCGCCATTTTTAAAAACAATGTGCGTTCCGTTTCAAGGTACAATGTCCACGTTTTATCGCGTTTTACGTTTCAGTTACGAAAGTTAAAAAATGCGAACATTAATAAAAAATATCAATTTGATGAAAACAAAATCGATTATTTCTGCCAAAAGAGGCTTAAAATATAAAATTTAATCGTAGATAAATTTTTATATACCTGATTTAGGTATGAAACTCTTTGTGAAACGGAACACGGAGGAAGAGACTATCTTTTTGGCGCGATTTTTATTTAATTCTAAGATTTTTAATTGTTCGTAGCACATAATTTCACGAAATACGTAAGCTAAAATTATCTTTTTATAATAATTATATAGACTGTGTTTAGAATAACTGTAAATATTTTTGAATTTCAATTACATAATTCAATTCAGGAAAAATCTAAAATTGTTGAACGTGGTGGTTTAGCCAGCGAAATAATAATTCGCCTGATACTTTCGTTTTATAGTAACCTTTAATCTACTCAATAAATTATTCGTCCTAACTTGGTGCAATAACCTTTGACATAGTGTTCAGTTTAATCAACGGCCTGCGGTTGGATCAACAAAGCGACGAAAAAATAAGTAGGTTGAAAATTTCCACCTATTGAAAAATTCGAAATATTGGAGAAGACTGAAGAGTAATGTACTTATTGCTATTAACAGGTATTCATTACTACGTTACAACGTACTACCTGACACACGGTGAAGAATTAAATCCCCTACGTATACTTGTAATAAGTTGAAATCGCTAACACTGTGACGCCCATTTCTTCTCTGACAGAACAGACCTACAGTGCCCAGTAGGTGCCCACTGATAGTCTGATGCTGTAGCATCCTGGGTCAGGTTTATTCTTCATCATCTATACCGATGCAAAAAAAATCCCTTGAGCGTGGCATCAGCACACGTGAACTGTTAGGTCGATAGCGATAATTCTTTTGCTATTCTTCCAAATCGGACGGAGGTTCTTATTAAAAAAATATTAAAATAGTAGAGGGAAAAATCAGGAATAATCAGTCGGTCTAAGACAACAAATTACCGACTCCAAGGTCACCCATACGAAGCAGATGCGGAGCCATTAGTCGCTAAAAGATGGCGTTACTATCCCTTAATGAATTCTTCCAAACAGACACACGATAATAAAAAACAGATAATTCCTCTTAGAAATTAATATCTTTATTGAGAAAACTTAGTGATAAATTACATGGAGGCATAAACATTACTTCACTGGTTTCATTTGCCACAAGCCATCGTTGAGATAGTGACAGTTTTCGATGCCCACGCCTTTGTTTACTTTGGCTCTGAAAAAGACAGAAAATAATGTTTATGGTATATGGCTTTTTCGGACACTGGCATTAAAAAATAGACATGTGATTTAAGTGTGGGAGAGCCATGCTCTGGCTCGACCAAAGTAACCGCCCAAACCTGGGCGGGAGAAGTCATTTGATGATTTTACCCTCACAAATGTCGTGGTAGCCCCGAGGTTAAGGCATGCATGAGGGTGTAGGTTCGAAACCTGGCGAGTACCAATGTGACTTTTTTCGAGTTATATGTACTTTCTAAGATTATTTAGACACCACTGACATGCGGTGAAGGTAAACATCGTGAGGAAACCTGGACTTATAATTTCTAATTATAAGTGTGAAATCGCCAACCCGCATTGAGCAAGCTTGGTGATTAATGCTCTAACCTTCTCTGTATGAGAAGAGGCCTTTGCTCAGCAGTGGGCACTTATAGGCTGATGATGACCCTCACAAAAAAAAAGGGTGCACCTATTTTGTTGCGTATTAAGATTTTTTCCTGTGTCGTGGGTGACATGCAAATGTGGTGTATAAACAATATATCATCAATTTATTACATGTCATCGGTAGATAGAGCAGTGCATCCGACAGCTAGAGCGTGTTCCTTTCCTTCAGCCATCACAGCGACCACTTGTCCCTTGTCCACGCTGCTCATCCGAGCGCCAGGTGAGGTTAGCCCCGGGCACATGATGTTAGCACCGCTGAGCACGAAGCGGATCGCACCCTTGTCCACCTGCTGCATTGGTAGGAAGAATGGATCTGAAACATGGGTTTTAAAATATTTTAGATATTTTCGCTAGGTTTAACATGTCAGTCGGTATGTATAATTATGTTGCAACCAATTGGTTTCAATAGCCGTTCAATCTAACAGCTAGCCCTTTGATCGAAGTATAATTTGAGTACCTAGCTGTTTACTTGCAATGCCGATTAGATTTCTGTGCGGTTCATAGTTCTAACCTATCCTACCAATTTGGTAGCAACTTGAACTAGAGCTTCAAGTTAGAAGGCACTAAGTCTTGCCTTTGGTTGGATGCCAACTTAAACTATTTGGCTGCAACATAAATAACTATTCACATGCAATCCAATACATAAATTATTAAAATATTTTTGCAATAGGTCATTTTATATGTTTCTAATTTTTGGAACTTATCTAGATAACTATTAATTTGATTAACTCGAATATATGTAGATTTTGTTATATAGTATGTTTTTAATACCTTGTTCAAGTATAGAGCTTAAGTATAAGGTATGCCCACTGTACTTACATCGGCACTCAAATTATATTTCTAAACAACACATTTACATTTATTTTGGGGTCAGACTCAAATGTAAAATTATTTCTAAACGAACAGAACGGAAAATTTTATTGATCCAAAACTACAGTAGAATATGTGTAAAGTAAAAAAGCACTTACATTTATGAAGGAGTTTCAAAGTTGGCATCCATGGGCCCTCCCGCTGGCGAAAGAACAGCAGCTCCCCAGCGCTGTTCACCATAATCTCGATGTGGTCGTGACTGGAAATAAGAAATGTGAACAAAATGAAATCACCTGTTTTAGAAAAATACTACCAAATTTTTTGTGCAATTCAAGCAATACACACTTCTTTCAATGTCTTCTGATTGATTCTGGGAGATGGTTCAAGTCTAATACTTATTTTTTAAGAACCGCAGGTAACGCTACAAGGGTGCCTACCTAAAGTAAGTTTAAAAATATATACATACCATTTGACAATTCTAAAAGTGTCCTTTTTAGGGAGCACTTGATCGATGTAGTTCTCCAAGTGTGGGTACAGCTCAAGCAGACGCGCCCTGATGCCTTTCTGAACTGAAGACTTGAGCTGCTGCACGCCCGAAATGCTTTCCTTTTCATCAAACCTGGAAAATAGAAAATAAAAATATAAAACTTATTTAAAATTTAAGAAAACTACGCGTTAAAGTTTTCCTTGGCAAACAAGGTCTAAAGTGAAGGGCAGACATAGAAGATAATTGTCATACAGTATAAGAATTAGGTATTTATTTATTCAAGATTTTTTTCTGAATGAATAAATAATAATAGATAGATTATAATCATAATTTATGCGATTCTTACAACCGCAGGCGACAAAAATAAATAACTATTTCCTGTTTTTGCACGCTCTATGTAGGTAAATAGACATGTTAAATATTACCTACATTTGGTCGTCATCATCTATTAAAAAACACTAAGCAATGCAATAATAACCGAACCTTATTTTATGGCTGCAAAGTATTATAGCCTTTGTATGATTTAGCATAAAGTCAATAACAATTTATTTTATATACTGACCCCCAGTTTCCGAAAGGCCGATCAATGTTAAAATCAATTTAATCTCAATTCAAGTCATCTGATTGGTTGACTGAATAATTATCAACAACCAATCAGATGACTTGACAAGAGATTTAACATGAGATTAGTTAATTTTAGCATTGACAAGCCTTTCAGAAACAATGAAACAATGAAACAATGAAACAATGAATTTATTTTTGCAAATAGGCCATAAAACGGCACTTTTACACGTCAATTTATATGTGAAAAACTAGATGAAGCCGGCATTTCCTATCTGACTACTCTGAGAAGAAATGCCGAAACAAACTCAGAGGTCAGTCTCTTTTCAAGTCCAGACAATGTAAAAATAACATAATGTGAGAGAATCGTGCAAGTTCATTCTGTAGTGGTCTTTTGAGGAAAGAACCACACCAGTTTAAGTGGACCCGTTCTGAAGACAGGCACGCAAGTGTCAGTTTGCAACCAGTATAGCTAGTGCTGCTGAGTTGTCCGACGAACAATACCGATCTAAAGAACATTTGGGTGGGTCGCGCAAGTACTCAAACTGTCAGAACGCAGATAACTGGTAATCAAAAAGCACGGCAAGTCTCACACGGTCCTTACACTAACAATAATATAAAATAATAAAAATGTCAATAAATAAATAAAAAAAAATGTCAAAAAAAATAAAAAATAAAATGTCACAATAGGTGATTATGTCATTGTATAAAAAATAAAAAATAAACGTAATGTCAAATTGTATATAAAATTGTAACTTATGTTACAAACATGTCAACATGACCTGTGCAGACATTACAGCGGCTCATTCCCATGCCTGACTATCCTCTAAGTAGTCTTTTATTTTATAAAATGCTTTACAGCAAAGTTTAGCCTTTATTACACTTTTAAATTTATTGAGGCTCAAATTTTGAATATCGCTAGGAATTTTATTGTAAAAGCGTATACATTGACATCTAAACGAACTAGTTATTTTCTGAAGCCTGGAGGCAGGGACAACATATTTGTTTTTCCCCCTCGTGTTAATATTATGTATATCACTATGCTTCTTAAATAAGCTTTTGTTTTTATGAGCGTGAATTACATTTTCATAAATATATTGTGAGGCAACCGTCATTATCTTAGTTTCCTTAAATAATTCTCTGAGCGAATGCCTCGGACTAAGATTATAGATTGATCGAATAGCCCTTTTCTGCAGAACAAAAATAGACTGAATGTCAGCAGCATTCCCCCACAACAAAATACCGTATGACATGATGCTGTGGAAATAACTAAAATAAACTAACCGCGCTGTATCTACATCTGTTAAATTTCTAATTTTTTTAACGGCATATGCTGCAGAACTGAGCTTCTTCGACAAGCCATCTATATGAGGGCCCCACTGGAGCTTAGCGTCCAGGGTTATACCTAAAAAGACAGTTGTATCTACAGGACTCAACTCCTCGCCCTTGACAAGCACACTGGTTTTTACCTGTTTAACATTTGGTGTTGTGAATTTAATACATTTAGTTTTAGTTTCGTTTAGTAATAAGTTATTAACACCAAACCAGTGAACTATTTCTGAGAGAGCACTGTTTACATTGTCAATAACTAATTGTCGTCGTCTGAGTTTGAATAATAGTGAGGTATCATCAGCAAACAGCACTATCTCGTGTTTATCCCTTACAAGGTAAGGCAAGTCATTAATATAGATAAGAAATAAAAACGGGCCGAGAATAGAACCCTGCGGAACACCCATCTTCACAACAGACCCGGCAGAAACCACTCCGTTTACTTCAACTCTCTGAACCCTATTACTCAGGTATGAGGTAAGAAGGTCCAGAGATGCACCTCTTATTCCGTAATGGGATAGCTTCCTGATCAGTGTATCATGAAGCACACAATCGAACGCCTTGGATAAATCACAAAATATTCCCAAAGCGTCGCTTGAGTCCTCCCACGCGTCGTAAATGTGATTAAGAAGTTCAACACCGGCATCAGTTGTTGAACGACCCCTTGTAAATCCGAACTGTTTCGCATGTAATAATTTATTTCTATTAAAAAATCTTTGCATTTGATCTAAAATAATTTTTTCAAAAATTTTACTGAACGTAGGTAGCACTGAAATAGGTCTAAAGTTAGTGGGGTCAGAAGTACTACCTGATTTAAATAATGGAATTATTTTACTACATTTCATAAGATCAGGGAACACACCACAGTCAATACAGTTATTAAAGATTTGAGCTAATACAGGTGCTACAATAGTTATTACAGAGCTTGTAATATACACAGAATTGCCCCATAGATCTGCAGTCTTTTTGTTATTCAAAGTATTAAAGATTTTAACAATTTCCTTGTTATCTATGTGCTCGAAGGAAAACCCTGAATCGCAAGCTACAACATGTTTTTTGAGTAAAGACTCTGCAACAGTGGGAGATGAATTCAGTGACTTAGTAGTGGATACAGGAATGTCGGAAAAGAAATTTTCAAAAGCAGTTGCAATTTCTACATCCGCTTTTATTAACTTATTATCAATTACAAGACTATGTTGATTTATTCTCTTTTTAGACCTTCCTGCCTCACTGTTGATAATATTCCAAGTGTCTTTGATAACATTGGTACTGTTCTTTATCTTAGAGCTTAAGAATAATGATTTAGCAATAGAGCAAACCTTTTTGAATAATTTAGAATAGTTTTTTACATATTCACTGAATTCAACAGTGTTAATATATGTCCGCTCATTATAAAGCTCATAGAGGCGCTTTCTACTCTTATAGATACCAGTGGTTGCCCAATCACCGAAAGACGCATTGCTATTAGCTGGTATAGTTTTATCTGAAAAAGTAGACTTAAACTCTGTTAGGTACATTTTAAAAAACTTATCATATAAAGTGCTAGAATTCTTATAATTCAACAACAAAGGCAATTTGTTGCTGAGTTTAGCTTTGAAAAATTCAATGCGTCTTTTAGTCTTCGGATTAACTGTGATAAATTGTTTTGATACTATATTTATTTCTTTTGTTAAAGAAATTAACTGACCACAGTGATCGGAATCAAGTACTGAAATTATTTCTTTGTTAACTGGCACAATGTCAGTATAAATATTGTCCAGGCAAGTGGCACTAGTGGGTGTTATCCTAGTTGGCTCCAGAAACAAATTCGCAAGGTTGTATGAAGAAAATAAACTTACAATTTTTGTGCTTAAACTACATTTTTCTAATAAATTTATATTAAAATCACCACATGTAATGATGGATTTCTTTGAATTTGTAAGTTTACTTAGAACTTCATCCATTACTGTTTCAAAACAGTCATACAAACCAGAAGGTGGTCTATACACGCTTAATACAATAAACCGCTCCAATTCCACACAGGCTATTTCAACAGTACGCTCAACAGAGTAACTAACTATATCTTTACGATCTTTGAATTTGAGCTGGTTACTTATCAGTATAAGTGACCCACCATGTATAGCGTTTTCTCTGCTGAACGAGCTACCAATCTGGTGCTTACCAAAATTGAACATGAGCTGATGGGGTTTTAGCCAATGTTCAGTAATACACAAAATATCCACATTATTACAATTTAAAAATAACTCTATTTCCAATTCTTTACTCATAAAGCCTTGAATGTTTTGGTGAACCAGATTAATAACCTTATTACTGTTTAATTTGCAAGAGTTTGTCTCTATTGTCTTATTTAATAATTTAAATTATTATGAATGTCAGTATTAGGTGACTCATTATGAATGTCAATATTTTTTGGTTGCTCAATAGGAGTAACCTGTTTAGCCAAGTTATTGGCTGATATATTAAAAAAATATGATAGCGACATTGCTATTTGTCTTAAATAATATTTTGAAAGATAGTACCTATCTTTTGTCCTATATATATTAAGACCAACATAATTGTTGGTGTCTATGAAGTGAATATTAGTATTAATACTTAAGTTATACAATGTAGTATTAATTTTATATCTACTATTGTTTTCTTCCTGTGGCAATGATTTTATATAAGGCAATGCAAATATAATTATCTGCTTTAAATTCAGTTTGGCAAGTGAATTATGGAAATTGATTAAACTTTTTTTATTAAGACTACCTCTGTTACCACACATTATAATGAGGGTAGAATCTGGATTAAATCTATATTTATTAATTTTATCCAAAATATTACCAAAACTACAGCCGGGCATACAGTGATTAAATGTAGACTGTCCAGATAATTCATTTGTCAACATTGAACCTAAGTTCTTTCCAATCTCATCACTGAAAATGACAATATTATGATTACTAGGATTACAATTATTAAACAGTAAACCTCTACCATGAGGTAAGGTGGTCTCACATGCTGGCACAGAAAGAGCAGGCAGTATAGCATCAGGAGTGCACTTCTCACACTGTTTCTCCTGCGAGCTTACCAACTCATTCATTGCCAACATGTATTCCCTCATCTGCCTTTCTGAAGCACTATATTTATTAGACATTATTTCTAACTTTGATGTTAATTGTTCTAGTTCTGACTGCAGGCTCTGTGTATCAGTTTCATATTTCCTAGCACTTTGATTTAATTTTGATGAGTATAAACTAAGTTGTTTCAGAAGCTGGAAACGTTCTCTATTTAATTTTACATTTTTTATGAAGAACTTTTGTCTCTTTACTAATCTGTTTGTTTTAGTTATAAATTTACTGATTCTTATGTATTTCTTAAGCTTCTTATGACTAGAACTAACAAATTTCACTGGGTGACATGCATCATTATCTGTAGTCTGATTTGAAGTTAATGGATTTAAATCTAAATTTACATCACTATATTGTAGTTGAGAAGCTTGGGCTGACACCAATTCACTGAATAAACTATTATTCAAGCCGGCCGTGATGTTTAAGTTTAATATTTCTAGTTCAGAAATTTGACTGTTGGCCTCATGTAGCTGTTGTTTTAGTAGCGTTTTGTCATTTAAAGTGGTTTCATACTCCTCGCTACACTGCTTGAATTCGTCCACAACGAATTGGAGCCTATCCCGGGCCTCAATGGCTTCTGTGTGTTGAATGTTTAACAGAGCCATTTCACGTTTCAGCTTCTTGTTTTGGTCCAAAATAAGCAAGAATTCCCTCTCATTGTCATCCCTTTCCCCCAACAATTGATCACACAACTCCTTTGATGCCTTCAATTCGCTCAAAGCCAGGCTGAGTTTAGACTCCTCTTGGCGAGCATGGGCTTTGCGAGTGAGAATCATTTTGGAAGTTTAAAGGTAAGAGATAGAATTAGAAAGTTATAATGGAAGCTGAAATTATTATGTAAATTAAGGTAAGGAAGTTACTAGATAAGTTAAGTAAAAGTTTGCTTAGACAAAGAAGTTGTGCCACCAACTACAAAAAGGGTAATTTTTATTGTTATTTTGACCGCGAATGTTTGTTGCGCTAAATGAAATCAATGTAAACACGAAAATAAAAAGGCAAAATAGCTAATTACGTTGAAATAATACTGTATTTTACCTGATATCGAGATGACAATGCAGCGAAATCCTTAATGCCGGTAACCTTACATTTATTAACTTCACAATTTTCACTTTGAAAGCAAGCAAACTTTGAAAACTTTATAAATTACATTTAATAATTCAGTGATGAGATGGTTTTAGGCAATATTGTATTTAAAATTAATATATTTTAATAATTAAACAAATTAAAAACAAGGACAATCTTAAATCAGCTGTCAACGCCAGTGTTGCCACAGAAAAAAAAAAAGCAGAAACCGGGTGTTAGCCTATGGAAATCATGCATACCATAGATACATGTTTGACGGCAATTAAATAACGGACATGAATATAATACGAGTTATGGTTGCTTTTGCTCGTGCATAGAAATACCAAATAAAGTAAATATTTAAAATTCATATTTTAACAGTTAAGTTAAACGCCGATAAAGTTCTACATCTCAAAGAAAAAAAAAGAGTTAGGGCATTGACAATTTTGTTGAAATATGTGGTAGGTACCTACAGGATTCGTTTTCATAAAGTTGTTCTAGGTCAAACATAATACGAATAGTTTTCCTAATCACGAAAGACAGACTATGCATACACTGATTTATAGCAAACATTTTTTCATTCTCAAACCGATTTCGATATGTATAACGAGCAGACCCCTTGTTTCATTAATAATTTACCGACTCCAGAATCTATGTAGTCCGAAATCCATATAATTGAAGCCAAACCACATGTTACGTTGTTAAATAGGAGCAACTAATCGCTTTTCGGTTTATGCCGTTGGGTCTCGTAAAAAAGCAGTTTCGTCGGCGTTGCAAATAACTACGTATTACTGGGTCGTTGCACTGCCCTAGTTTGGACACCTTACAACCGCATAGATTAAACACGTGAGGCCCAAGTTCCTATCACGCTATGTGCACATTTTCGATAAATTCAGGTCGAAATATGAATGCTAGAAAGGAAAGTTGCTTAAAGTTTTTTTAACATCGAGAGCAGCATTTTTCTTAAATTATGTGTATTGCCAATAACCAAAAAATAACCAGAAACAAACGAATTTGTTAAAAAAAAAAACTTAAAAAGGTACAGGTACATTCATATTTTATGAGTCGATAATATCATTCTTAGCCAAATTTCTCCGTATTATTATCTAAACACTAAAAATAAATATATGCTTAGGTATATTAAAAACATAACAAAGTTAAGTTTTATGATAAAGCATTTTATTATTTATAGTCATTAAAACATTAGAAGATTTAGTTTAAGTCGGTACCTACATTGCGCAGTTTTAAAAGTAGGTTATCAATGTATTTTAGATAAAAATGACTGATAATATCCGCAAGCAAGTACAAGTATTGTATTACATTTATAAATGATGTTACATAATAATGCAGGAAATGGTGCCACTAAAAATATCTCACTTTTCGGTTACACGCCTGACCCCGTGGCCTTTTCATGCGCACAGGTAACATATAGAGATACCTACATAATCCATAATTCATCTCATATTTTATAGTCTGTCGCAGTATGGATGCGTTCTGAAAAAGTATATATTTCAAGCTTGAAAGGGAAACGTTTAAGTATACTTAGTCCACGTTCTGCGTTAAGTGTTGAAAAGATGAAGTTTTAATTATTAATTAAATATGTTTCAAGCAAAAAACTGCACTACTAAAGCTTAGATACATACTTTATTTATTAGTTTAAACGTTCTTATATAATGTAAGGACCACCTTAAAAAACGAAAAATAAGTTATCTGCTAGGCATATTTTTCGGGAAGGCAAGATGATTAAGGGCTGATTTTTCAATAGTCAGATAAATGTTATCTGAGGAATAAAATTGTTGCTGTCACTGTCTTACACTGTCACAAATATTCTGACGCGACAGCATCATAATTATTCCCCAGATAACTTTTATCTAACCATTGAAAAATCACCCCTAAACTTAAATAAATTCCTGTATGACATTTTCAGACAAAGCAATGCAAAGGTGTGGGTTGGTCCCCGACCTTTTTAGCACTTTTCTTAAAGTTAAATGTCAGTCTTATAAGAGATCCCCTTTATAGCTGACGAAAAGTACATAATAAAATGCCAACTGCCTATTTATTATCTTATCCACGCCCCATCTACTGCAACCAGATATTTTCATTCAAATTTGAAAGCTTCAAAAATAACAATAATAATACCTGAATGTATTCTAAACAATACAATTTTACTACATTAAAACATTAAACGTAATCTTGTTACTAACTAAATACATTTGTGAAAACAAAATGGCTGTTTCAAATAAAGTGCAATAATATGCATTAATGAGGCAACTAACTGCTATGCTACTGTAACTAAATGACATTAGATAATAACACAATCGATATGTAAGTAATTTAGCTTTAGTATTTCCAATCTAATGCTCCCATTTTTATATTTATATAATATTTTCGCAGATACAGTTTCAAATAACCGCTTAGACTTTATTTAGCTAAAATGTACTAAGAATAAATAAATAAAATACATCTATTACAATAAGGGCTGATTTTTCAATGGTTAGATAAAAGTTACCTGGGGAATACTTATGATGCTGTCGCGTTAGAATGTTTGCATAAGACAGTGACAGCAACAGTTTTATTCATCAAATAACATTTATATGTCTATTGAAAAATCAGCCCTAAATTTGTACCAAATCTATAACAAACTTCGGAGGAAACCTGGTTATACTCCCGTGACGGTGTCGGTGGTATTTTCAAGGAGACAAGGTCGTCGGCACATTTATTACTTGGCTCTAATTTACATTGCCAATTGAAGGTAAGGTTTCGAAATAAGACGTAATAAATAGGTACTGGTAATAAGTTTTAAATAAACAACGGATACGTTTCACATTATTTGCCTCATCCTAGCTGCAATTGTATTTATCGACAATATTATACCTAGGTACTTAAGTAGGTATTATTCTTTACATAACATTATCATTCAAATTGAATAGGCCTAGATGGATTATGGCTCGTTCTATATAATTAAAAGGCAGATTTGTAGAAATATCGAGAGACAATCTCCGGCCAACGTAAGCGCGTAGCGTTCCGCGCACGCCTCAAAGAGCCAATAGACCACGACCTGGCTTGTAGATTAAGCGCAATGAGTCACCGTGGCCTAGGCCCAGAGAAGGAGAAAGAACGAGAGGGTTTTTAGCCAGTAAGAATCTGACACTCTCTGGCGCCTTACCCTGGGCGGAAAAGGTCATTTGATGATTTTCCCCTGTCAAAAAAAGACCTGCAGAAATATCGGCCATTTGTCTAACGTGATCGATCTTTGTGCATAAAAAGACCGACATCTGACTTGCATACAATCCTGTGACTGAAGCAAACTGCATCAAGATTGGAGAGTAGTTAATTAACCGCAGCTAGACTGCTTTCACTGAGGCGTGTAGATGTATGCAAGAATTCTCTTTATGTGTGAGCCAGTATCGGCGTTGCAGTAATTTCACCTTTCCGTGGAAACTTATTAAGGTAGGGATTTGAAAATAATCTGATGTAAATGAAATTTTAGGAACTTAACTTATTCCTACTGCATAAGACAAATGACAAAAAGAGTCGACATATACACATAGATATACGTTTTCGATTACCTCTGATGGACTGCATGGTCATTGTTTTACTATAAAGATGAGAGATAGTCTTGGTTTATCATATTCACGCCTAAACTACTGAACCGATTTCTGTGAAATTTGGCATAGACATATTTTGGAACTCGAGAAAGAACATAAGATTAGTTTTTATACCAAAAATCTGCAGGAACTCACTAAGTATTCCAAGCGAACGGAGTCGCGGGCGAAAGCTAGTTTGTACATAAATTCACAACAGATTCATCCAGAACATTCCTAACTCAAGACAGAGGCGAATCGTCTGGAATCAGACAAATATTTGTCTCTGAATTCGTAAGACGAATGTTTACAGTGTTACTAAGGGCCTAAGGGGCCATCGATCTGTTTTCTTGTTTGAACTTATTACTTACTTTCGTCCATAACCTGGTCAAAGTATAGGGCATTTTGCTTTGGAATTTCTAAGAACAAATACTTAAGGCCATGAAGGTTTTATGAAAAAAAAACTAACAATTTCTTTCTACTTTGGCAGTTGACATTTATAGCATTATTATTAGCTATCGGAGCAGGTGTTGCAGCCATATTGGAGCAACGACGGTCAAAGACCTTATGTCGGGGTGTTAAGTAATTTATTTTAGTTGTATATGAAGGTTCTTTTTTATATAGGTACTAGCTTCTGCAAGCGGCTTCACCTGCGTGGTATGTTAATAAAAAACAGCCTATTTGTAAATCGAGGATATCACCAATATACATACTAAATTTCAACCAAATCTACACAACTTCCACATTTATTAAATTAGTATGATTTCTTTTCGTTAGTATAATGGTCGCAAGCGTCAGTGTAAAATGCGAGAAGTCGATTGTAACCGACCATTTTTTTTCACCTTTCCGCGCTGTAAGTCATATGTACTTTAAGATCCTAATTTTAAATATTAGTTTACTTGTTACACACTTACGGCTGATTTTTCCATAGACAAATCAATGTTATCTGTGGAATAAAATGATTGCTGTCACTGTCTTATACAAACATTCTGACGCGACAGCATCATAATTATTCCCCAGGAAACTTTTATCTAACCATTGAAAAGCCCTTAAACATCTAAGTGCAAGAAAAGGAAAATACCGACCGATTTACAGTCACAAAATTACAAGATACATTTCACATTGAACAA